CTCCACCCACCTGCCGCCATGGCGCGCGCCGCCGGCTCAACCGTCCCGCGCGGCCGCAGCCAATCAGCGGCGCGCTAGCGCCTGTCACGTGATGAAGTCCCGCCCCCAACCCCGCCCCCGCGCTATGACCACGCCCCCCGCCCCTCCCCCRGTCGTGACACGATGGCGACAGAGCCGGGCAGGAACGCTCAGGGCGGGGGGACTTTATGTGCCCAAGGGCTCAGAAGGAGGGGTCGCCGAAGCCGAAGCGGTGCTGGAGGGCGCGGATCTCCGTCAGCAGCTCGTCGTTCTGCAGGCCGAGCTGCGGGAAGAGAGAGCGGGCTCAGGGCCGGAGGCGCGGGACTGCCCCGGTGCTTAAGGGCTCTTTGGTGGCTCGGCTGCGACACCGAGGGACGGGGAGCGTCCCGTGGCACAGCCCCGACAGCCAGCTCGGAAGGGAGCACGGTGAGCGGTTCCCGCGGGGCACGGACACGAACCTTGAGGGTGTATTTGTAGCACTGCTCCGCTTCCAGCTGCCGCCCGCCCTACAGCCGCCGGAGCACCGGGGGACAGAGCGTAGCGTGGGTTAGGGACGAAAAGACACACGAGACCCATCAAATCCAGCCATTCCCCCAGCACTGCCAAGGCCGCCACWAACCCATGKCCCCAAGTGCCACAYACACACGCCTTTTAAATCCCTTCAGGGATGGTGACTCCATCACTGCCCTGGGCAGCTGTGCCAGTGCCTGACCACCCTTTCCATTAAGGAATTTTCCCCAATATCTACCCTGTCCCTCCCCTGGCCCAGGCTGAGGCTGGTCCCTCTCCTCCTGCCCCTTTTCCCTGGGAGCAGAGCCCGATCCCCCCGGCTGTCCCCTCCTGTCAGGGAGTTGTGCAGAGCCACAAGGTCCCCCCGGAGCCTCCTTTGCTCCAGGCTGAGCCCTTTCCCAGCTCCCTCAGCTGCTCCTGGGGCTCCAGACCCTTCCCCAGCTCTGTGCCCTTCCCTGKACATGCTCCAGCCCCTCAATGTCCTTCTTGTTGTGAGGGGCCTAAAACTGACCCCGGGATTTAGGGTCAGTTGTGCCCAGCATGCCAGGAAAGACATGGCATCTCAGTGAAATGACATTTGTAAGCAGCTCAGCAGGAAGGACATACCCTGGAGCAGTCAGCTYCTCAGGCTGCTGTTTTTGCCATCCAAGCACTCACTTTCCCTGAGCACAGCCCCCAGACTTTTTATCACTTTAGGTCCATGAGCAGATGCCAATAAGCCCCACAATAAACCTCCCTACCCCAAAACCCCCACTCCATCAATCTGACAGGGGCTGGGCACTCACATTCAGGGAGACGAGGGCGAGATACGCCCACACTTCAGCGTGGGTGTTGTTTAGGGTATTGGCTTCAGAGAGAGCATCTTCTGCTTCCACCATCTGTCCCATCTTGAAGGGGAAAAGGAGAGGCATGGACAAAGGACAAAGAGCAGGGAGAAAGGGCTTCCCAAGTGAACAGGTATAGCTCTAACAGCAAAAGAAATCAGTGCAACAGGAGCTCCTAGAAGGGCTTCCCTGATAGAAATGCAGGGAGAGGATTTAGGGTGCAGACAAGGAGTTATCCTCAGTGCCAGCTTCCACCTGTCCATTCTGGAGCATGAGCTCCYCACTGCTGACCCCCGTGGGATCACACAGTTTCCAAATCAGCCTCGTGCTGTAAGGAAATCAGCACAAACACCTTCACCTCCAGGAACCGCGTGATCCAGCAAGATGAGGAAACATGGCAGTGCTCCTGCTCCCTATTTCCACTGCACAGAAGCTCTGGGCAGGCAGGGGTAGCTGGTGCCCAGACCACCTGACCTGACCTGATTCCACAGACTCCCAGGGGGTGAACATTTGGCCAAGGGGGAAACAGAAGTTCAAATTCCTTCCCAGGCTGCATCCCTCAACTTCCTCAGCCTAACTCCCTTGGAGGAACCTGGCAAGGTGCTCCCTGGGGAGATACCGTGCTGCTGGTGGCTGGGTGTCCTTGGCAGCCCTTCAGTGGTGCTGAATTGACTTAGACAGGGAAAGCACCAAGATTCCTCCCTGCTGCCATCCCACTCAGTGCCTTGGTGGTGACATGTGGAGGCAGGCACTCAGAGCAGAGCCTGGACTGCTTGCCATGACACCCTGGGGAAGGAGGTGCTGGCAGGAGCTGGGATGAGGCCAACGATGGCTGCTCCCAAAGCAGCTACTGAAGGTGACACCATCCAGGTGCCATGCTGGGACTGTGACAGCACACAGGGCACGATGGCCTTTGGGAGCACCGGGTCACAGGCAGCCAAGTGTTGCTTTAATCAAAGGGATCATGCAAAAATCAGCCCTGTGTCCCTTGCCACCAGCTGAAGGCCAGAGGACATGAAGGCAGCTGCACTTACCCTGTAGCAGGCGATGCCCACGCCCAGCCAGGTGAGGCAGGAGGGAGAGTCATTACAGGCAAGCAGGTAGATGTGCTTGGCCCGGGAATACTGCCAGGAGAGAGACAGACACATCCCCTCTGCATCAGCACATCACTCAACAGCCTGTGCCAGTGGGGCTRGGACACCCACTGTCCCCACTGCTGCTGGGGCAGTGACTTGCTTTATGGTCCCTTGCCCTCCACAGCCCCGCTGGCTCCTCACCTGTTTCTCTTCCAGGTAGATGGAGCCCAGGCGCAGGTAGACAAAGTGCATATCTGAAGCATCCTCCATAAAGCTGATGACTCGCTCATAGTAATCTTTTGCCTTCTTGAAGTCCTTCCTCAGGTAGCATAGGTGCCCCTTCTGAGCCCAAACATTTGGATTCTGTGCACAAAAAGCCAGGAGTGAGATATGGATGGGAGAAGCAGCTGGGAGGGGGACTGGGGCAGCTGTAAGCAGCAGAAAGGAGGAGTGTGTAATTGTATTATCAAAACAGCACCCTGTACACTGCTCCAGGCTGGGGATAGAGCGGCTGGAAGCTGCCTGGTGGGAAAGGAAGGCCCTGGGGAGGGCTGGTTGGCAGCAGCTGAAGCTGAGGCAGGTGTGCCCTAGATGGGCAAGAAAGCCAATGGCCCCTGGGCTGTGACAGCAATGGYGTGGCCGGCAGGAGCGGGGCAGTGCTCGTGGCCCTGAGCTGGGCACTGCTGAGGCCGTGGCTGGAGCGCCGTGTCCAGTTGTGGGCACTTGCCTCAATTGCAAATGGACATTGAGGGGCTGGAGCGGGTCCAGGGAAGGGAACGGAGCTGGGGAAGGGGCTGGAGGCCCAGGAGCAGTGGAGGGAGCTGGGAAAGGGGCTCAGCCTGGAGCAAAGGAGGCTCYGGGGGGACCTTGTGGCTCTGAACAACTCCCTGACAGGAGGGGACAGCCGGGGGGGTCGGGCTCTGCTCCCAGGGAACAGGGACAGGAGGAGAGGGAATGGCCTCAGGCTGGGCCAGGGGAGGGACAGGGTAGATATTGGGAAAATTCCTTAATGGAAAGGGTGGTCAGGCATTGGCACAGCTGCCCAGGGCAGTGATGGGGTCACCATCCCTGAAGGGATTTAAAAGCCCTCTGTGTGTGGCACCTGGGGACATTGATTGTGAACGTGGTGGTGGGGAATAGTTGATGACCCTAGAGGGCTTTTCCAACYTAAACAATTCCATAATTCTATGACAGTAGGGCAGGCTTTATGCAGAGTTAAGGTCAGTGGGCTGCCTGCAGGACACCAGCAATGGGATCCCCCTGCAGCTCCCTGCCCAGTGTCCCGCCTGCACACAGCATTCCCAGATGTCACCTTCCCCCTGCGTTCCTTTCAACCTGCCTCCCCAAAGCCGGTTTCCCTGCAGAGAGCTCAATAGCAACCTTGTTTCTCAAGAAACAGAGCCTGATTCACCCACACAGAGAGGATCAGGATACAGCCATTCAAAGGGAAAAAAAAGGCAGATGCTGCAGAGGGAAGGGCAGAGACAGGCTCAGAGAGGYTCCCTGTCTGTGCAGAGGGTGATGGGAAGCTGTTAGGATGGGGTAACAAAGAGAGCAGTGCTGCAGCCACAGCCTGGTGTGATTTCTCTCCCTGCTGAAATGCTCKGGACTCACAATGGAGWGGTCAAGTGGAAATGAAGCASGGGCTCTGGGTTCACACACACCAGSAATGCACAGGAATTACCAAGGGGTCGACCCGAATAGCCTCATGCAGACATTCYTCACATCTGACAAGGTCGTTCTGCACCGAGTAGGTCCAGGCCAGAGCCAGGTAGTAGGCACAGGTGGGGCCTCCCTGAAGGCTCAGCATCTCGTGGGCCAGTGCCATGTGAACAAACTGGGGAGGAAGAGCACAGGGGGTGGTTAGGGGAGCAGGGATACCATGGGCACCCCAGCAGGACAGGGCAGGAGGGCTGACTGACACTGATCTGACTTCCACAAACAGAAAACACACAAGAGATTTCTTTTTCCCCTCTTTTGAGCGTTGGTGTAGTGGAAGGGGCCCCTGCCCACAGCAGGAGGTTGAAATGAGATGAACTTTTCAGGTTCCTTCCAAACCAAACCAAACCAAACCAAACCAAACCAAACCAAACCAAACCAAACCAAACCAAACCAAACCAAACCAAACCAAGCCAAGCCAAGCCAAGCCAAGCCAAGCCAAGCCAAGCCAAGCCAAGCCAAGCCAAACCTTTCCATGATTCCATCTAGTTCTGCTTTGCTTTAAGCAACTCTTTCTGCCATGTCAAATTTAGGCAGGCAGCATAATGTGGCAACCAGAGAGATCCCAGAGTTAACTTGGTGGGACAGGCATGTTCCACATTCCACAGYTGATATAAAAATCACTCCAAAACACACAAATGTCTGAACCAAGGCGTTGAAGCATCTTGGAAGCATCTCAGTAATGGATTAATAGATCCCATCTCTGAATGCACAGGGGAGAGCATCCTGCACCATTTCTGAGCTGGCTGCTCCCCCTGCAGCAGGCAGTGTTGTGGGCTCAGTATTCTGCCTGGCCACACGTCTGCATCCCTGGGCAGTGGTGGCTTTGCTCCCTCTTGTGCTTAGCCTCTGGAGTGGCCACAGCACATTCCCTGAGCCCAGTAAAGGGGCTGGCTGGAGCTCTTTGGGAACAAACCGACCTGCCTTCCCACTCCTCCACTCCCTGTTAAACTCACCCGGACAGCATTGACTTTCATCAGGAATTCCAACGTCTTCATGAAGATTGTGCAGGGAGCTCGCTGAGGCCCTGAAGCAATGTATAGTGCTGCAAGAAAATGTGTCTCTGTCAGTCCCAAAATGGGGCTTTTACTTCTGGAGCCAGAGCAGGACCTGAGATCCCAGTGGGGACAGAGAAATCCCAGCAACATGGAGTAAAACTCAGGAGGTGGCAAGGGAGATTGAAGCAGAGATTAACTCAACATTTCTTTTTGAAGGGCTTAAATTTTGTAGGATCTGAAAATAAATTATGCTATTCACCCACTAACTTTCCAGTCCAAAGATACAGGGAGAAAAGGAGGGAATTTATGAATGATGCCTGTCAGAGACAGTGAGGCTCCTGCCTCCCCAAACCAACAGGGGGCCCTGAGGCAYCCAGCACTGCCATCTCCACTACCAGGGAGCAGCTCCCACACCAYAGGACCAGAGGGGATCCTTAGGGACACTTTAAGAGCTGCCATCTCAGGAGGGAGACAAGGAAGGTGCAGGATGCAGTGACATGAGGGCAAGAGCTGCATTCACCCGCTGGCTGTCCATCCTGAGATGTTTTGCTCTGCAAAGTGGGGTGAACCTGCTTTGCCTGCAGATTCCCTGGCTCAGGAGAGACAGCAGGCCTGGCGTCACGGGGGCCATGGCTCATTGTTCCCACTTTAATCCCCACCATTCCCATTCCCATTCCCACAGCCATCTCCCAGCACTGGGCTCTCCAGATCTCTGTTCCCAAACCTTCCAGGTCTTCCAGCGGTGCCTCTTCCTTGGATGTCACACCCTCCACCACCTCTGGCTGTTGGTCAGCTGAGTCATCCAAAGTCTTTTCTGGAATGAAACCCCCAACAACCACTAGGTAGAAAGAATTGGCCATCAACTGCCCAATTTAGAACATGATTCCACAAGAAATGGGGAAGATAGAAAATATGAAAGAGCTATCAGGTTTTCAAAGCTGGGAARAAATTTCTTTGCAGGAGGCAAGACCTGGGACTGGGGTTTTGAGCACAAAGTTTACCACGTGAAGGCAGAATCAGGTATAAATGAGATARGATGAGAGGAAACAGCCTCAAGTTGCACCAGRGGAGGTTTAGGTTGGATATTGGGAAAATTTCTTCACAGAAAGAGTGGTCAGGCCCTGGCASAGGCTGCTCAGGGCTGTGGTGGAGTCCCCATYCCWGGAAATGTTCAAAAGCTGTGTGGATGTGGCACTTGGGTACATGGGTTAGTGGTGAACACAGCAGTGCTGGGTTAACAGTTGGACTCARTCTTGAAGGTCTTCRTCATTCCTTTGTCAACCTTAGTCATGCCATGATTCTATGAATATCCCTTTCCTCATAATCAGAAGGGACAAAACCTCACATGTGTCACGAGCCTGCCTGCCTGAGGCACTGTGCATGAGTGGTGATAACATTAAAAATAAAGCTGGTCAGTGCTTCCTGTAGCCTGACCAAATATCAGGGACTCAGGCTGGACTCAGAGAGGCTCTGAGGGAAGCCTTAGCCTCAGGGTCACTGYCAAGCAGCTGCTCTGCCCTTTGCATTGGTGAGGCAGAGCTTTCCAGGCTGTGTTGGGTATTCACAGTGACAGCTTCCATGGAATTCTGTTCTAGCTCACAGTCTGAATCTTCTACCTTTACTCTTTGTACTTCTCAAAAATTCTCCTTTCCTTCCGCCATACACCACACAGCTCCAMGCCCCTCCTTGCTGGTGCCAGGGCACCTCCTGGGTTTGCCCAGTTACCTGGCAAGYGTTCCTCTGGGTCTGTGTAGGGAAAACTGGGCTTTTTCCCTTCTTCTGCCTCACCAGCCTCAAGCATTCTCCTCTCCTCCTCCAGCTGTGTTCGCAGGAGCTTCTTAGCCTCACGGAAGTTCCTTTCTGCCCGAATATAATTATTCTGCAGCTCATAAAACAAACCTGTGGGARAGACAGAGCAGCATCAGCAGCACCAGCAGAAGGAAGCAAAATCCTTCCCCTAGCCCTCAGACTGGAGCAGGGAGAAGAGGACTGGGGGCAAGAACAACACTTGGCTCCACAGGAACACCTTGAGCACCAGGTTTTTGTACCTGAAAGGGTCCAGGCTATGATGTTGGATGGGTCCAAGCAGCAGGCATCCTCAAAGAAAATCTCTGCCTCTTCCCAGTGTTGCAGCATGACAGCCATAATCCCACAAAGCAGCAAGCTGGGGCAGGGGCAGAGCAGTCAGCCTTGCAGTGCTGTGGGGGACACACCCAACACCCTTCCCACCCCCCACCAGGAGCACTCAGCACCTCTGGACGTGCTCAGGGTCCAGACGAAGGGCTTGCTGGAAGCACTCCTGGGCTTTGGTGGTGGTCTCATGCAGGAGGCAGAACGCTCCATAGTCCAGCCAGGACTGGACATTGTGCTGGTCCTGAGCTATCCTCTAGACAACAGAGATCATCATTGGAGTCAAGCTTGTGTACTGGGGAGACAGGTCTGGCCAACCACCTGGCCAACCCAGCCCAATTTAGTGTGCCCTTGTTTATCATGTGCAACGATGTCCCCTAACTGGGATCGTGCTGGAAGCGCAATTTCTCTAAACTTCCTCCACCTAACACATGTCCTCCAGCTGATCCCTCCTAGGGCCCAGTGGTGGCAGAACTGACCAGCCCATCTCATTTCCCCTGGCCTCAAGGCTGAAGTCCTCAGTGACCTGGCCAGGGACAGTTCTCACATGCTGCAGAGAGCAGCCAGCATCTCCCTGGAAAAGCCCTCCCATACAGTCTGAGTATCCTGGTGACACTCAGCTCTTTCCTCCCTCCCACAACTGGGCTGGCTGAGCTGTGAGCAGTGGCCCCACTGTGATGCTGTGCTGTACCAGCCCACACAGRTGATGGGCAGGAAAGAACAGGGGCTCCCTTACCTGCTTGTGGAAGAGACAGGCCAGGTCAAAGTTCTTGTCGGCTTCAGCTTCGCGAGCAAAGAGCCCGAGCTGATTGCTGGTYGTGAGGGATGGAGGGGCAGAAGAAACATCTTCTTCAGACAGGAGCTGGTAGGGAAGGAGACAGTGTTAGCCCTGGGGAAGGGAACAGTGGTTCATCTGATCCCACTATGGCAGCAGGCCCCATGCCAGCACTGCACAGTACAGACCAGTATGGCAGGGGCYGGGCAATGGGAAAGGCAAGCTGCTCCTTGTGGTGGAACACGTTCCTGTCATTCCCAGGTACCTCTGCCACACAGGGACATGGCAACATCAATTTTTACAGGGGCATGGAGTGACAGGAYGAGGGGGAAAGCTTCCCACTGCCAGAGKGCAGGGTTGGGTGCAATAYTGGGAAGAAATTGTTGCCTATGAGGAGACCCTGGCACAGGGTGCCCAGGGAAGCTGTGGCTGCCCCTGGATCCCTGGCAGTGTCCAAGGCCAGATTGGACATTGGCGTTTGGAATAACCTGGGAYAGTGGAAGGTGWCCCTGCCCATGGCAGGGGGTGAGATGAGATGAGCTTTAAGGTCCYTTCCAACCCAAACCATTCCATTATTCWGTGATTATTTACAGCATTCCCCAGATCAAGGAGATGTCAGACTTCTGTGGGGCCATTCACTGGTGACCCCAGCTCATGCYCTGCCCAGCCACCCTCACCACGTGCCAGCTACAGCAGCTTTACCAGTGGCATGTCACACATATTCCACCATCAGGATTTTGGAGCGGTGGAACACAGATGCACCGGACCCTGCCTTGAGTGTGGCTCATGGTCCACATGTGACAACTCCAGCAGATGAAAGCACGAGCCTGCTTCTGTCTTGAGAAGGGCCGAAGTCCTTCCCCTGCCCTGGATCCACAGTGGTCATGGCCCACGTCCCCCAGAATTCCCCCTACCTTGTTCAGGGCAATRTGCATGTGGTCCATGAGGTACACGTAGAGCTCACAGAGAAAGGTCTGGAGCTCCTCCTTGGTCTCAAAYGCTGTGGTCTTCAGGTATTTCTCCCTCACAATCTTTACCACAGAATACTATGGAGACAACAAACATTCATTAGTCAAGGCAGGTTCTCCCTGTGCCCCCCACCATCTCTGTAATCAGACAAAGACAACACATTCATTTTGCCTGAAGCTCCARCTTAGTTCTGAGAAATAAATCCAGCCCACCACAGACAAAAGTAAAAAAAGCAAGGAGGATTTCCTTCCCCACCTCCCTGACATACCCTTTAGGGACACCATGTGGATGGCTCATCCCCTCAGGACAAAGAGGGGGTATCCAGGAATAGTGTGGCTGAGGCTGGGAATGTGAGAGCAGCCAGCTTTGTCTTTCTCAGGTTATGAGCATGGGGCAATTGGATGTGACCATGCCAGTGATAGGAAGTGTTCTTTAGGTGTGGGACCAAAGCAGCTCAGTGCCTGCTCCATCAGAGAGGAATCSTGTCCCCCCAGTGCCCATGGCAACAGCTGTGTGGCAGGAATGGATTCTGGAGCACCACAGCATCCTGAGTTACCACCATGGAGCAGCAGCTCCTCACTGAGAAACCATCAGGACAAAACAAGTAGAGAAGCAAAAAGCACGAAGGAGTCTTCACCTTTAGCTGTTCCTTAAAAGCAAAGTATTTCCCAGAGGTGTTGAGCTCATAGTTGAGCTGGCGCTTCTGTTCCTCCAGGATTTTGTGGTCTATGGCTCCCTTGTCAGGCAGATCCTTCCCAAAAAGATCGTGGTATTCACTCAGGATGGAAAGTGCAACACTGGTGACTCGTTTGTGATAATCTTCCACYGCCTAGGAAAGAAAGAAATAAATTTCACAAGCCACTTATGCAATCAGCCTTGATATGTATTTGATTTGCCACAGCCCACGCCTCCCATTAACTCCACCTGACTCAAGTCTCAATTAGTCTGTCACACATCCTTTCCTGTCCACGCCTGAGGGCTGAGAAAATACCTATAGGTAAACATGAAAGAGCTCCTTCCTGCTAGGATTTTCCATCAGAACCCAGTATTCCAGTCACTGCTATGTCACTACTACAGTCTCCTGTGGCTGTGAGTAAAATACTTCTCGTTTGTTGGGAGCCTTGAAACCCATGGGCAGCCCTCTTCAGCACAGCCTGTAACTCCAGAATCTTGATCCTCCAAAATTCTTGGTGACCTGAGAGTGGTCAGGGCTGATTCTGTTCAGGTTTGCCTGAGTCTGATGAAGCACTTGGGCTGGTCTGAGACAAGAAACTGTTGGGACAGCCTAGGATAAATGTAAGGTTCTAGTAGCCTCTTTTCCCAGCATCCCATTTCCTTCCAAACATCCCTCCATGGCTGCCTTCCCTCTCTTGGCTCCATCTCTTCATCTCTTCCCTTTGTACGGGATGTGAACACCATTGGTGAATGGGTTCCCAAGGCACACTATYGTGGAGATGGCACACACAGAATTTTCTTTTTCTGTGTATTTCATAGAACCATGAATATGCTGAATTGGAAAGGATCCACAAGGATCAAGTCCAACTCCCAGCCCTGCACAGACACCCCAACAATCCCACCCTGTGCATCCCTGGCAGCGTTGTCCAAACGCTCCTGGAGCTGTGGCAGCCTCGGGCCAGGACCATTCCCTGGGGAGCCTGGGCAGTACCTGGCCACTCTTTTGCTAATATCCATTAAAACCTCCCCTGACACAGCTTCAGCCATTCTCTCAGGTCCTGTCCCTGGTCACAGAGAGCAGAGATTGAAGCTGYCCCTTGTGAGGAAGCTGCAGACCCCACTTAGTTCTGCCCTCAGTCTCCTCTGCTCCAGGGTAACATTYCAAGTGACCTCACCATTCCTCATATGGCTCTATTCCCTTCTGGACCCTTTACTCCACCTTTGTGACCCTGCACTCTTGTCCTCTTSGAACCTCATCCCCTTGTGGCTGTGGGCTGAGAACGAAGACTCAGCTGTGTGAGAGGGATGAGGGCAGGATGGGGTGGCAGAATGGTGGCAAGGCCACAGGCTCTCACAGGTACCTTCTCAGCTCCGTCTGTCCGGCCAGGCAGCGTAGCATGGGGTGGAATAATTTCCTTGACCCTGTCAATGAGAGCAGAGGAGAGATCAGCAGATCCACTGCCAGGGATGTTGGCTTGTCATGGACACAGGCAGTGCCCTCTCCAACCTGCCATTGTGTCCCTGAGACACCTCACAGAGACCTGGGAGCAAAACTGARGTCTCAGACTGAGAATGAATAGGACCCTACAAGTGATGCTTGTAGCTCATCAYGACAGGGTTAACATTTATTGCTAGCAATCCAAACTGCTCTTCTGGAGCAGCAGATCTGTATCTTGGAGCTCCTGGTTCTGCCAGAAGAGCTGTAAGGAAGGAACCGGCCTGAGGAAAGCTCTGTAGAATTTGGTCACTGAATAGCCCAGGTCCATCAGCTCCCAATATCACCCATGGTGGCTGTGGCACCTCATCCCTTGGCCACTCCCAGACACCAGGCTCAGATCCCCAGACACCACACCAGCCCTGCCTGGGCCACTGCTGGAGTTACAATGACCTTTCATGGGATTAGCACATTTTTAACTAAGATTTTATTAAGGTGAGAGGGGCTGAGTGCTGGAGCAGGAGTCTCTGTGGAGTCTCCCTCCATGGATATATCCAAAAGTAATTTGGACACAGAGTTAACGTGCTCTGGGGAACCCCACTTGAACATGAATGTTGGACTCGGTGACCTTCAGTAGTCCCTTGCAAACTGAATCATTCTGGGATGTTGGAATTAAAGTCTCTGGGGCCAAACCAGACATAATTCACTGAGATTTTTATCAACATTTGCTGCTTGCTGGACACCAGAACACCCTCAGTCCTCAGAACATGATCCAGTCCACCAAGCCAAAGTGYCACAGGCCTCATACAGGTGCACACAGCAGGCAAGCAAGGAGTTACACTGAATCCACACACATTGCAGAAGTGTAGGAATGTATAAAATAGGCCAGGAAAAGGTCTGCTCTATGAAGGGTTCACTTTCCTCAGCCCGTTTCTCCTGGAAGACAGCAGGTAGCAGTGAGRGCAACACARTGAGTGGATGATATTTCTGTTTGARATATTCACCTGCACTTCTTACACCTGATTAATCTGCTGCATTTTCTATTTTTTTTATCCCATAAATGAGATGTGTTATGCCTTTCTAAGCCCATAACACAGCAGGGCTGCCACTGGACAGGAACTGGAAGTCTCAAAGCAGCAGAGATGAAAGAGCAGCTCTGCAGCAGAATGAATGAAAACTAACATAAAAGCTGAGGAACGGGTAAAACRTGGTGAGAAAACTTCTGGAAAGCTAAAAATGAGAGAGTGCTCTGCTGAAGCAGCAGCAGGACTACCCAGGGCAGTCCATGCTGGTGGCCAGGACTGACCAAGCCACTGAACAAGAGGCTTGCCAAGAGGCAAGCACATGGGGATTAGTGGGAAACAAAGCCCAGACAGGAACACAGACACTGTTGTGCTGCTCTGGTGTCTCTTGTTTTGAGAGGAATGGCAGGGAGATGCCAGCTGGGATGAACAAGTGTTTTCCCAACACACCAGATGCCATGTCTAAAGCAGTCAGGCCAAATCCTCCCTCTGATTCCTGTGGGYTTTGTCTTTTTCAGGCCTTCTTTATGGAGTATTCCAAGGGGGGTTTGCTGTACAAGCCTCTCTCCACCTTGCAGAGAGGAGCTGTCAGCCCCATAGCTCATCCTTACGCACCGTTGGGCGAGCTCCTCCCGCTGCCGCTTCGGGACCAAGGGCTTGTCCAGCATTATCTCTATTATCAGGAATGTTCCTGCCTCATTGTATTGCTGTGGAGATAAACATTGCTCCCTGTGTCGTGCTGTCTGCAGCCAGGGCTGGCACAATGAAATACCGAGCACACAGCCACAGATCTCTAAACTGCAGAGATTCAGCTTATTTTATAGCCTCCCCTCAGAATGAGTTACAGCAGCAAAATCCAGCTCAAGAAACCAAGCTAGGGAAAAGGACAGAGCCYAGACAATCAATCTGCCTGCAGAATGAATGTGCATTCCAGAGGAAGAAGCCAAAATATGAAGGGATAATTGAAATAAATGCCTGGCAATTTACAGAGACCTTCTAGCCCAATGCCTGTCTGGTCTCCAGGTGGACGTCATTGGAAGAACTCTGGGACAGCATCTACGTAAAACGTCCTTTGTCCACTTCACTCTTGAGGAATTTAATTGTGTGAAAGGTGTGAGACACCACCATGGTGATGGTCTACAGTCTCTCCTTCTCTTTGGAGAGACATAATTACCTGTCCTTCAAGGCTGAGATCTGTGACATTTTCAGATCCTCCAGTGCCATCTGACAACTGGATTTTGGATGGGTTGAGTAATTATTAGGAAAAAGAAAATATGTTTTTTGCTTCAGACTCAATAAATTCTGTATCTTTGCAAGTTCAGGGTGTGAGATAAGACATGCTGTTCAGGCAGCATGTCCTAAGATTTCAGGATAAGGGAAGGCTGCAGCTTCCTCATGAGGAGCAGCTCCAATCTGCTCTCTGTGACTAGGGACAGGACCTGAGGGAATGGCTGGAGCTGTGTCAGGGGAGGTTTCAGTTGGATTTCAGGGAAAGATTCTTCCCCCAGAGGGTGCTGGCATTGCCCAGGCTTTCCAGGGAATGGTCCCGGCCCCGAGGCTGCCACAGCTCCAGGAGCGTTTGGACAGCGCTGTCAGGGACAGGGTGGGATTGTTGGAGGATCCGTGTAGGGCAGGGAGTAGGACTCACGATCCTTGTGGATCCTTTCTAGTTGAGGAGGTTCTATAATTCTAGAATAATGAGTATGTCTCAGTTGGCTGAAGAAACACAGCATCCATCCCTGGTTCCTACATATCCCAACTTCCTGGGACGTGGAAATAGAGCAACCACGTGCCATGTGCCCCCCCAGACACCTCCAACAGACCTTACCAGGTTAGAAGAACCTTTCTCTTCCTTCTGAGCCTTACTGGGAGCAGCTTTGGAAACAGGAGAGGATGCCATCCCTTCCTTGATCAGACTGATCTCTGACCTGCGATCCCGGAAAATACTGTGCTGAGTTTTGGTCTGAAAAATAGAGGCAACAGAGAGAATCAAGGGACAAAGAAGGCTTCCTCACTCCTTTGCCTTAACCTCTCACATCACAGAACACAACGTCAAGGTCCTAAATACATTAAGAAGCTTTGCAACCTCATTCTCTCCTCCTAGAGTTCAGCTGCTGGTGCTCCAGGCCAGCAGATCCTGTGTAGCTGTGAAGCCTCAGGTTAGACTGTGAGACTCAGTGGTGTCTCTCCATCTTTCCACAAAGAGCTGTTTTCCCTGAGGACTGGCCCTTGATTCTTGCCTGAACTACGTGGTGAACATGCTGGAACCCAGACCCATGATCCTGAATTCCTGGTGGGATCCTAGACCTGCCTCACAGCKCTGGACTTGATGAGGATGGCTGGATGAATCTGGCTACTCCACACTAGGCCTGTTCCACATATTTTTGGGGGTCCCCACCTGCCTGACATCATCTCTTGGCTCCCAGCTCATTTTCTGGTGTGGAGCAGCCACCCTGACACACACCAGTGAATTGCAAGGAATCGGTTTGTCAGACTATGTGTTTACCCAGTGTTTGACCACCTAGACAGGCTGTTCCCTCCCACATATCCTGGTTACAGGATTTGGGCTAGCAAGAGTTATGGGGAGCCTGGGGAGAGGATGGAGCAACTGTAGAGAAACTCCTTAGACCAAGAGGCAGCCCAAAGCATCCAGGGAACGAGAAGGACTTCACTTGTGACAGATAAATGGCACAGGACAAGCAGCACCATGCAGCCAAGGGGTCGTTACTCATGGCAGGGAAGCAGAGCCCAGCAGACACACTTGTGCCCAGCCCTGCTCTGCAGCAGCCAGTGGGAGCAGGGAGGCAGCAGGAGGGCTGGAATTCACCCGGCTCCTGCGCATGGACCGCAGCCCCACAGGGAATCGGGTGGTAAAACCAGGCTGTGCATCTGGCCTCCCGAAACAAGCTCAGTCTGTTCCAGGAGGGACAGACTGTGGGAAAATGGAGATGTAACTGTCACTCTTAGTAACAGAGAGGGACAAACGCAAAGACAAATAAACCTCGGTGAGCTAGAGCTGAAAGAACTCCAGTGACAGCTTTTTTGGTGGTTGCCGGGGGTAACGCGATCCTTTTAAAGCCACTGTTTGCTCTTCCCAGCGACACAGTTCCCTTGCCCATGTTCCAGACTGTGGAGAGTGGAGCATGCTGGCATAGGAGGGAGTGGAGTGAGATTCAAAGCCTCTCTCAGCGCCCAGACCTGCTCACGCCCCCTGCCAAAATCCTGTGCCCTGGAGAAATCTGCACCTAAGAGCTTGTATCACTATTTTTCTCCATCACGAAGGGCACTGAAGGTTCAGATGCAGCTCTGAGCACCACACTGCCCRCACTGCCTGCTCATAAACATCCCASTGCCCACTCTCCCTGCTCCCAACCCCTCTGTGCAAACCCATCGCACAGCTGGAGCAGGACCTGCTGCTCTCACCTTCGCAAACACCTCGTTGTCCTGGTAGGTATAGACACGGAAGGCCCCTCGGATCTGCTTCACCCCAGGGCACAGCAAAGGCCCCATGTCGACATATGCCACTCCATGGAAGGGAACCTGCTTGTCGTCATCTCCCTGGAAACACAGAGGAAGGGACTGAGATCCTGAACAGACTGTTACTGTCCTTAAGGGAACAAGGTCACCAATCTCATTAAGAGGAGGCCACACAGCACAACTGATGCACCTGAAGAGCCTCTGTCACTGGCATGGAGCCGAGACAACCTGGATGGGTACACTGGAGTCTTTCCATATGTAGAATATTAATTTTATCCCAATCCCCGTGGGGCAGCTTTTTCTAATTCCTTCACTCTGCTATTCCTCAGGATGGTCTTGCTTAGATATGGCTGGAAGATTATCAGCTGTGTCGTTAGAAATCCAGGTGACCCCACCAGAATTGTGCAGCTCAGGCTGGACAGAAACCAAGTGGCTAAGGAGGTGTGGGAGGCCTGGCTAGAAGGATCATCATCAGATAACAAAGTACTGCAAAATCCTGGCACTGGGGAGTGCTGAAAGGGATTTACACCAACTTAAATGACTTTGCCCTGGAATAGATCAGGACCTGTCACAGAACCAGCTGCCAGGAGCAGAACCATTCTCTAAGGGGCTGTTTCTGCTAAACCACCCTGGTTTAGATGCAAAAGCATAACTTACCTACAGTCTGAGAAAGAAGGCGTGAACTTCTTAAGGTGTTCCAAAACCCCATTGGCCAAAGATAAGCTCTATCAATTACCTTAATTCTCCTCAAGGCCAGGCTGGACAGGCYTCTGAGCAACCTGCTCTAGTGGAAAGTGTGGGTGCTGTGGGGTTGGAAGTAAATGGAGTCTGAGGTCCCTTCCAACCCAAACCATTCTGTGATTTTCAAAAGCACCCTCTCCCTGATCCCTTTCCACTCAGCTACCACAGACCATCAGTGAGAGTTCTGTATGGTATAAAGAAAATATATGACTCTGTATCTATTTAACAGCTCTATAAAGCTGATTTTTCCCAATGCCTCCTGCACTCTGACTCACTTTGGCTGCTTCAAGCCTGGTTTTGGTATCACAATGGCATCAAAAGGAAAATACCTGATAACACAATGCTACTCTATAAGCCAGACCCCACTTTTACCTTTTCAACTTTGCTGGCTTTCCCTTTGCYAGCTGAGACAACGGTCAACCTGCAGAGCTCCACGGGCCAGAAGCGGCACTGAGTAATGCGTCTCCGCAGGCTGGGCACAAAGAAGATGCAGGATGTATTGAGAAGAGGCAGAAACCCAGCTGGAGAGCCCCACCACCCTCCTTCTTGCCCCAGCAGCTTCTCTTGGGTTTGCTTCACCCCATTCCCTCAGCAAAMACACTCAGGCCATGGCAACACTGATTTGAGGCAGGCTGGGTACATTTTCTCCTCTACCCACTGCTGTATGCATTTATGGCACAGCCAGCTTTAAAATAACTGTGAGAGCATCACACTGGGTTCCCTCTCTTCCCTRGTTATTTCAGACATAAAATAAGTAAGAAGGATTATGATTAACTTTGGTATAAATCCTGAATTGTACAGAGCAAGTAGATCCTGAGCTTGCATTCAATGTGGCTGGTGACTCTGACACCAGCAGGCAGGCTGGTGGATGTGTAGAGAAAAGAACTTTAAAAATCAAATGAGGTAGAAGGGAGTATTTCCACACAAGGASTAATTTGGCAGTGAAATGCACAGTCATGATACAGCTGAGGCCAGGGAAATAGCAGGATTGAAAGATAAATGGAACACTCACCCTGATCTGGAGCTGCTAAAGGTAACACTTATCCAATAAAAAAGCAAATGAAGAGTGCCCACATGGAGTGAAAAGCTTGAATGTATTTGGGATTCAGTAAAACTTAATTAGCAGCTCAGAGGAGAGTTGTGGAAGCCACTCTACTCCGTATCTGCTCACCATAACTGCTGCCCCTTCCTTCAAACCATGGAGGCACCAGCCCCCAGCCCCACCTGCTGCTAGCAGGAGTGAGCACTTGTGATCTGAAGACAGCAGCTCTAGCCAATTCATCTTCCCCCAGCACAGCAGWACGAAGCTGCTGCCAGCAGTTCAAAGCTGTTCAAGAGCTGCTCCCTGGCTCAGGTGAACACTTGTGGCCAAGAGATAGCCACAGGAGCTGTGGGAGGTGAGGCAGAGCCACAGTTTGACTCCTAAGAGGTCCAAGAGCACCTGAATGTTGCTGCTCCCTGCCTCAGGTCATTCATCTGAGCACATTCTGAGGTGGGTTGCTCAGGTCACTTACACAGCCACTGAAACAACRTCCAGGAAACAGCGCCTTTCCATGTCCCACACGATTTTCTTCTTGCTCTCTGCCTGGATCCTGAATTCCCTATCCTGTGAGAAACAGCATGCAGTCAAAGCCAGGAGAGCAATCTCCACAGCCTGCGTCATCCTCAAAAATGTCCCCAGGAGAGAATGTGAGTCAGACAGAGGTGTCCAAGTGCCCACAGCCAGGCCAGCCCAACAGAGAGCCTGACAGCCTTTCCTGCAGACACCATCAGTGTTAAGTGCCTGGCTCACAGGCACAACTCCCAGCACAGCAGCTCAGTGTGGGTGTTTTYTGGGACCAGACCTGCCACATTCTCCCTTGGGATGTCTCCTGCATGTCTGCTGTCCCAGGGGWGCCATCTCTGTGCTGGACACTGCACAGTAACCACTCACCTCCCTCTCATATTAAGTCTCTCAGTCCCTGCTGGTTCTCTTCCAAACCTGCCACGCTTTCCTACCTCCGTTTTGGTGAGCTCTCCATCCTCTTCTTCATAAGGCCCACCAACAATGAAGGAGGAGGGTATGGCCTGAGCAGCAGGGGCCACAATGCCACCAAGGGGCCATTTTTTAGGCCGGGGACACGGTTCTTTTTCACCATCAGCCTTCAGGATGCCGTCCTTGAAGAGCACTACCAATTCCTGATAGAGAGACGCGAGAAACAAAGGATTTGCATTTCTAACAGGAGCAGGAGCAAGAGCCAGCTGCTCCGAGCTGAGATAACAAAGCAAAGCAACAGTACAAGGCTCCTGGCTTGGAAAATGCACTCCACCACACGCATACAAAGAATGGAATAAAAATAAAAAGCCATGTGGAAAAAACCCTGYCAGTTTGAATCCAAATCTTTCCAAACAGACCTTTGTTTGTATTAAAGAAACACGTCACGCCACAGAGACTCTGAGCCCTCCTGACAAAGGCTGCTGGTGCACAAGCACAGGAGCTGTGCACCCCACGTGCCTGGACACTTGTTCCATGGGGTGGGAGAACAACCCAAACCCAGCCAAAACCCCTGTCATTGTGCCTGGACCATTCTCACATTGTCAGCTGTTGGTATTTGCAAGCAAGCCATGTAGCTTTGCTGGGCTTCAGTGGTAAAGCCTTCAGGGACAGAATAAGCTGCCTCCAGCRTGACACTCAGGAGGCTCCCAGTCCAGAACTCGGTGGCAGAGAGCAGGATGTCTTTGGAGCTCACTGTCACTTCAATTGTAGCCTGTGAGACAAGGATAAAGTAGAGCCAGTAACCAGACAATTATAACCTGCCTGCTCTTAGGGAAACCCAAGGCCAGAATATATAATGCTATCTTGTGCTTCATCTCAGATGTAAAAGAAAATAGCCCAGCACAGGAAAGGAATTTCAGGATAAATTGGGCTGAATTGTGGCATTTGTTTGTTTAAATCACAGCCTGCTTGAGGTATGGCACATGCCCCAARGGTCTCATAAAATGAGCTGTAGAGAAAGAGGCAGGGTCTCATAAAAGGAGCCACAGAGAAGGAACATCAAGGGTGGAAAATGATGCTTTTCCCCTGGTGATTCAGAGAACCACAGCTTTGCCTCTGCCCTATCTCCACACTCTGTGTGCAGCCTTTAATTACCTGTCCAGGTCCTGGATGGATGGTGTGTGAGGGAAAACCAGCTGGTCAGCATTTATTACCTGTCCTCCCTAATGAGTGCCCCCCCCACCTTGCTCACTGTGAACTCCTCTTAAACACAGAGCTGCTAATGGGATATCCACCCCTCCAACTCCCTCCYGGTGCTCACTGCAGGCAGGCTCAAGAGCAAAATTGGACACGTTTTCCCAGCCTCGTACTTCATTCCCTGTTTTAGTCACTGGAGATTGCTGAATGAATAAGGATCTGGCAGGAAAGGCAGTCAGAGCTTGTACAATAATGGACTCAGACATTTTATCTGCAGAAAGGAAGGCTAATAAAGCTGGGCAGGTGACCCTGCCACTGCCTTTTTTGGGCTTTTCAGCACTGTGCTTTCCATCTTTATTATTTTTTCCAGAGCAATTGGGTAGCYGCACACATTAACATTTCCCAGCACGACTTCACCTATCAGAGGGAAGTAAGGACAGACGTCAGAGGGAGCGGGAAAGGCCTCCAAGCCTGTAACATATAGGGCTGCACCACATCCGTGCTGACCCAGGGAGCTGAGTCATGCTCTCCCTCCCATTAAAAAGCAGCAGAGAGCTGAATGAGGGAAGGAACAGTTCCAAATTCCACATACCATGGCCTCAGGGCGAAGCCTCTCTGATGAGCCCACTGCATACACAGGAGTAGAGATCTTCAGTGTACACTCTCCTGGGAAAAAATGGAAAGAGAACTGCCKAAAGAGAGCCCCTCTGCAAAGAATCATAGTCATGGAATGATTCGGATTCGAAGGGACCTAAAGATCTTGTTCCAGCCCCCTGCCATGGGCAGGGACACCTTACATGAGACAAAATCGTGATATAACTCTGAATGCTGAGCTACCCTCTCTCCCCACYCAAGTCAGCTTTTGCAGAGCTATGAAGGTCACTTTGTCAAATGCAGATAAGTTGTACTCAGGGGTCCATAAGCAGAGATCAAAAAGGGAGCAAGGAGCAGTCATGAAGCCTGTGGAATTCAGTTTTGTACCTTGCACCAGAGGTAAAAGATCCACCACGGCTTGGCCAATAGGTATTAATTTCTCCGGTTTTTTCTTATCCTTCTGCCCCACTTCTAGCACTGTCACTAGGAAGATAAAAAGAGAGGAGCTGGCAGAATTCCTTAGACCAGCAGGTTGGGCACTGGGAAGGGTCTGTGTCAGCTCTGGCACATGCTCCTCATCAGCTCCCAAGGCTGACAAGCACAGCAAAGCCAAAGGGGCACAGGCCAACATGAAAGGGGATTCTTCCAGCTGGCAGAGATGGACAAGAGGTGCTGGGAGCCTCCCACCACTGCTGCTGAAGTGCTATTCCTGAACCAGTGACTCCTGAAGCAACAGCACCCAGCTCCAAGGTGGGAGATCTGGCACCAGRTACTTACAGAGCAGTGGTTTGTGCACAACCACATCCACGGTGTGGGGCCCATTGCGGCTGCACTCAAAGCTGGTGCTGAAGTCATATTCTGCTGTCCCATCTGGCAGGACATCAATCTTGGGGGATTCTCCCAGGAGCATKCCGTTGTACTCCACACGCACCGATGAAACCAACACGCTGCTTTTGAGATTTTTCTGTCAAAAAGAGAGCACAATGAGCAGCTGGTTCTGCAGCAGCATCCCAGGATCACAGTTCCTCTGGCAGCAGCTCGGATCAGTCACCAGGACAGGGCTCATTTGTCGGGGTCTGTTCCACCACAGGAATGGGGAAGAGGAATAGAGCTTGGCCATGCTGAGACCTCACCCTTCCCTGTCTTTTGAAGGGAAATTTCCTTTTCCACCATGCTGTGATGCCCCAAAGATTATCAGGAGCTGTGGCAGGGGAGATAGAGAAGTCCAGACTTCACCTCGGGAAAGACATCTAAAACAAATCCCAAAATACTCCACTGATATTTTTGTGCTTCCAGGAAGCTTGAGACCTTTGCTGTCTCCTAAGAAAGTAGCTCTTGACCTACAGGGATAAACTCACAGGATACCTGTGGATGTCACATGGTGCAGAAAGTCCTGAAATAGACATGAGAAAATGGCCTCAAGTTATGCCAGGGGAGGTTTAGGTTGGATATTGGGAAAATTCTTCACTGTAAAGGTGGTCAGGCACTGGAACAGGTTCCCCAGGGCAGTGGTGGAGTCACCATTTCTGAGAGTGTAAAAAAGACATGTGCAAGTGGCACTTGGAAACATGCTTAGGTGGTGTCCTTGGCAGTGCTGGGTAAAAGATTGGACTTGATAGTCTTAGAGCTTTTTCCAACCTAAATGATTACATGATTCTACAAAATCAAAGGAAGGGCTCCAGCAAGCTCTTTGGGAGCTCGGCAATTTGTTGTTACAACATCTTCACACCACTTGCTTTAATCAGAGATGAGGAGATTCAAATTTTACTTTGAATTTCAAATGTCTAAACAGAGGTGCTTAGACAGGGCTGGAGAGGGAAAGTGAGGGCACAGCATATGGCAGTGGGGAYCCACATGGGCAGCACCATGTACCTCCACAGCAGAGGAAGTGCTGGGCAGCAGGTACCAAAGGGCTCCCTGCAGCAGAAACACAGTTTAGTTTTCAATCCACAGAGAAGTGGCTGAACACAAGGGCCATTGTACCCAAACCCAGCTTTTACTTAGTGCTGAGCCACAGGGATGCCTAACCCGCCCTCAGCTCCCTCTCTCCCTGTCACTGGGGTAATTAGCTCCATGCTGGTTCTTACACAAAAAGAGATCTCTTTCACTTGGTTTTAATTTTCAGCCCTTCTCACTGTCTCCTTGAGCATACATTCTATGAATGGCTAAACAGAAGAATCCAATTAACCTTTCCCTGTACCATTAATTATCTAGGGCTCCTCTCTCATCCTTCTCTACATTRCCTCTAATTAAGCAGATTCCTCACTTATAGCTGGAAGTGGATTCCACATACTTACAGACGGATTTTTTTTTTTATGCTGTTGCTGTGATTATTGCCCTTTTGTAACCCTCCCCTCCCTTTTGCATGGCCCTTTCTCACGGTGGAGCRATCAGAACCACAAAGCAACATTTCAATCCAGGAGCGTTTTTTCCCAGCGTTGTTTTTCCTCCTTTCACCTCACACCTCACCTAAGCTGCTGTTTGTTGAATCTATCAGTGTAAGAGGTACTTCAACACTACAATGTTAAAGTCTCAAGCAGGTGCTTTTGGATTGCTTTTTCTGTCTGCTGCTGAGGCAGGAGCAGGGATTTGCATTTTTTTCTGCTTGCAGCGGGAGCTGAGCTTCTCCTCCACATTCCCTCCCAAGAGCCAATTCCTCTGGAAGACTTTAAGGACAGCTGGATGCATCACATGGAAATCACAGCAGTGGTGGTTTGATTAGCACCAGCTCATAGCCTTGCACTGGATCCACTGCCTTTTTAAAACCAGAGCCACCCTATTGCTTTCAATAGGATTTAAACAGCTGGAGCTGGCACACAAATCTGACTTTATACCCAAGGGGAGATCCTTTTGCAGGTATTTGTCTCACTGATCACATTATTGCTCTGTTCTGCTTTAAAAAGCTGCCATCTACATACAGTTAGAGGAGGCAGCGACGGACATGTCACCTCAGCATCTGTGGCCTGCTGCTGGGGAGAAGTGCTCCCCAATTTATGCACCTCACAAGCTTTTTCCTCTGTGTGAGCTCCTCAGCAGGGAGGAGGAAGACATAATGTGGCATTGCTGAACCTCTGATACTCCCACCACTCCTTCCTTTAGCCTTACCACCCCCCACCTGCTCTCACAGGGGATCCCAGCACACAGAATCGCTCTGGCCTTGTTTATTAAATTAGMAGAGATATTTTCAGAACTTTACCAGGTCCTGCACCTTCACAATTGTGATGTGTACTGGTATGGGCTGTGACACATCAGGAAAATCCAAATCATCCGACTCCTTCCCACCAGTCAGCCCCGCTGGGTCCTCCATGGCTCTGCAGGARAAAGAATGAGGAAAGAAACATGAAACTGCTCCATTCCTCTCCCAGATACCTCTGCAGGACACAGCAGTGCTGGTTGCGAGCGCTATTCAGGGCTTGGCTGTCAAAACACCATTGAAAGCACAGGGCTTTGGCAGTGACGAATCTCTCACGAGGCGCAGGGGGGGGACTGGGAGAAATGTAATGTGAAAATTATCCRTCTCTGTAAGCTTCACCCAGCTGCAGCTCCCAGGAGAGGTTTGCTGTGCCAGGCTGCTCTCGGCTTCCAGCRCCGGGTACTTTCCTCGCTCTCTTTTACTCCCTGTTTAAGTTAAWGGTGACCCCAGGGGTCAAAGGCTGGCAGCTGCCAGCTCATCCCCTCACTGCTCCCACACCCTGTGGGGAGCTGGCTCCATCTGCTCCTCAGGTTTGTGAATCCCTYTGGATTCCCTCAGGGCACTCCAGGGATCCCATAGCCCCCTCGCYTCACACCCCCAGGATGGGGGGCACCAGCGCCCACCTGAGCCTGGCAGCCCCCTCAAGGCASCCTCGATGGGCCTGGGGGTGCTTTCACCCTGGTGCGGTCCTGCAGCCCGGGCGTCTTCCCGACCCGGGGGTATCCTGCCACCCCACACCGATGGGTCTGGAGGTTTTCCTGCCCCAGAATGGTCCTGTAGCCCTTCACCGTCTGTCCCGACGATATTTCCGACCTGGGGTGCACCTACAGCCCCTGACGCACGGGCCTAGGGCCTCTGCCGACCGGGGGTTGTCCCGCAGCCCTTCACCGACTGTTCCCTCCTGCCTCGGGCGCTCCTGCAACCCTTCATGCACGAGCCTGGGGCCTCTGCCGAGTTGGGCCGGTCCCGGAGCCCTTCACCCACGGGCGTGGAGGCTCTCCTGCCCCAGAACAGTCCTGCAGCCCCTCCCCGACAGTTGTAGAGGCCCTCCCACCCCGCGGGAGCACCGTGCAGCGCCGGGGCTCGAAGCTGAGATCTCCCCGGCTCGGCGGAGGGCCCGCGTCCCGTAACCACAGCGACGCGGCAGCTCCCGCAGCCCCCGAAACCTCGCGGGGCCCCGGCCCTTCCCGCGCGCTCGGGGGCGTGCCCGTGAGGGCTGCCGCCGCCATGATGGGTGTGGGCAGCCCTCACCAGCCCCTTGTGGGGCGGGAGTCCCCCCGAGCCCTCCCGTGTGGGCTGGGGGGTGCTGCAAAGCCACCATGTCCCCCTCTGCAGCCTGGTGTGCCCGGCTGCTGCCCCAGCCCGCTGCTGGTCCCCGCCCCGGCTGGCAGAGGCCATGGTGCCCAGCCAGCCACGCCCTCACACCCCTCTGGGGGCCCTGAGGGGTGGAGGGCGGTCTCCGCAGGCCGGGCCGGGGGCGCTGGGGGAGCGACTTTGTATCCCTATGGTGACAGAGGGGTCCCAGGCGCTCGGGCAGCTCCCAAATTCCCCCTAGGTTTGCAGTGTGGGACGCTAYAGGGTTTTGGGAAACACCACTGCCACCAGCGCGGCTTTTGGGGCGGGAGCCGGACCCCCGGAGCGGGTTGGCCCGTTCCCGGGGAGGGGATGCCCAGAATAGCTCCGCTATCCGATTCCGAGGGGCCACGGCCGTCTGCACCGCCGGCTCCTGCGGGCTGACATTTGAGCCCAGCCGCGGGACGGGACGGGACGGGACGGGACGGGCACCGGGACTGCCCCGGATTTCCCGGCACTCCCGGGACAGGAGCGGGATGGCGGGCGGGAGGCGCCGTGGGGGTGGGGGGCGGCGCGGGGGACCCCGGCAGAACCCCGGGACCCCCGGACCGGTCTCCTCGCCCGCACCCCTCTCTCCTGCAGCCGCCACGGCCCAGCCAAAYGCAGGCGCTGCCCACAAAACCGGCCGCTCCAAGAAGCCCACGGAAGAGCCAGCGGCGAGGGCTCCCGATGTGGACTCACTGGGCTTCCAGGCCATGGACCGCAACGTGCCGGGGCTGTCTCACGTCATCCTGCAGAAGCTCAACATGAAGAGCTACGAGGACTACAAGTGAGTGAGCACCCATGGGTGCCTATTCCCCACACCCTCCACCAGCAAGAGCATCCTGTGTGTCTCCCCGCAGCTGGAGCAGCTCTCATGGCTCAGCCCACCCTCCCGTCTCAGGCCACAGCGGGCTCTGATGGGCTCTTGGGTGGACCCCTCCAGGGTGCCTGGCTCCCCCTCCCCACCCAGGCCAGGATGCTCCTGGCTGGAGCTGAAAATCCTGGCAACCTCGGAGGTAGGATATCAGCCCTGCTGCGGTGGCAGTAGGCTGGATCCTGCTCACCGTTTGACATCCGCAGGTCTGCCATGGATGGGAGGAAGAGTGGCAGTGATTTTGGCATCCGGACATACTTTGACATGTTCCAGAAGATGGAGGACACTTTCAAATTTTGTGTCGAGTGCAAGAAGCTCCCCGATGCCCTCCCAGACCCCAAAAGCCTCCGGCGTTGCAAGAGGTATGTTGGGGAGATGTTCTGATGGCACAGGGGATGGATCCATCACTCACTTCCAGCCTAGGTGGTTGGGGTGAAGTGAAGGGTCTGACCCCAGTGCCTACCTCCAGCCACAGGGCACCCCCAAAACAGTGACACAGCCTTGGGAGGGGGTGGCAGGGAGCCTGGTTCAGCGGGCTGGATCCTGCCCCCCCTCCCCCATGGCTGGGCATGCTGCCTGTCTGCCCAGGTGCCAAAAYGTGTACTACTGTGGTGTGGTGTGCCAGCGTGCCAACTGGCCGCTGCACAAGAAGTTCTGCAAGAAGCTGAAGCTGGTGGCCCTGGATCGGCTGGTGGAGTGGCTCATCTTCACAGGTGGGGTGCGTGTCCCCTCCAACCTGCCTGACCCCAATCCCAGGCTGCACAGGTCCCGTGGTGGGGTGTAGTATCCCTTCTCCAGCCCTACTCCCACAGCACAGGTGGGACAGGCAGCCTGGGCTGTGGGGCCACCACTGTGCCCTCCAACCTCSCCCCTTCCCCCCAGGAGACATCCCTTTCCCCACGGAGACCTGGACAAAACCTGCCCGGGAAGTGAGGGGCTGGGAGGACTGGTTCTCCATGCAGGAGCAGCTGGAGGAGAAGCTGGGTGCCATCATGGCCGGGCGGTACATGACCCTGCTCTGGGCTAATGCCGGGAAGCCCCGGCCGGAGGACGTGGAGCTGCGGGAATCCGTCCGGCGGCTGGTCACCGACTTCCACTCACGGCCACTCACCATCGGGCTGGGGCTGCGGCTTTTCGGCATCGACCCCCTCACCAGGCCCCTCACCGTGCACGTGGTGGGGGCTTCCCATGTGGAGACCCTCAACATGCGGCTGACGGACTACGATGAGCTGACACGGATGTTCCCGGGGCACCAGGGCATGGAGATGGTGATGGTGGGGGTGGACGTGGTGGACGGACCCATCATGAGGCCACCCCTGGCCACRCTGGCACCCCGGGGAAGGATCTATCTCAGTAGCTACAAGGGGCTCTACCACGACTTCTGGGAAAGCCATGTGGAGACCAAGCTGGCCGCCCGTCCTGACCTGGTGGTCGGCTTTCACCCAGGTGAGTGCCTGTGCCACGGAGGGGCTGGACTCTCACACCCCACTGCTGGGATGGGGACATCCCCACAGGGCACATGGGAGGGACTCCTCAGTACCTGGGGCTGAGCCTGCAGGTGGCCTGGGACATGCCCAGGGCTTTGCACCAAGACACAATGGGCAGCTGGGACATGGCTGCCTCGTTCCCTCACCAGGCACTTGGTGTCCTGCCTGTGTCACCCACCTGCAGTTGAAACAGGTCCTTCCCTTCAGGTCTCAATGCTTAGCTCAGCTCAGGATCCAGAGTTTGGGGTGCCCCACGTGCTGGTGGGGACCCAGACTTCACCTTTTTGAGGGTTGCCAAACTCACCGCATACCTTGGCATGTCCAGCATGGAGTRGGTTCAGTTGGAGCCGGCTCTCCCCAGGGCCAGGATGGGATGGGAAAGAGGTGGAACCCTCACCATTGTGTCCCCACAGGTTTCCATGCCTGCCCAGACCTGCTGGCAGGCTGGCTGCCCACCCTGCTGCTGCTGCGGGACTATCGCCTGCCCGTGCTCTTCACTGTGTACAGGTGAGCACGGCCCCACTGCCCCAGTGAGCGGGCACAGCCACCCCTTAAYGGGTCTTGTCCTCTCTCCTGGCAGCGAGCAGGAGCTGAAGGCCTCCCTGCAGATCCTTGTGGAGCTCGAGACCCACATCGTGGCCTAYGCCAGCAACCCCTTTGCCTCGCTGCGGCCTGAACAGGTCTACTCCAGCCCCAACAAGGCACCTGTCTACTGCAGCTCCCACTACATTGCCCTGCTGGGAGCAGAGGCTCTGCCGGGGGCTGAGGAGCTGGAGGATGATGATGGCTGGCAGGGAGGGGAGCCCAGTGCCTCCCCTGTGGCTGGGGRCATTGCCCCGGGGCTGGGCTGATTCCTGCCTGCCCCGCCCACCCGACTCCCGGAGCCTCGCTGCCCCATCCAGGACCCCATCTCCCCATCCTGGGATCAGCAATCCAGGCATCCCTGACTGCAYACATGCAGGCCTGGGGGATGCAGCACCCCAGCACAGGCATGGCACCCCTCCACAGCACCAAATAAATCACTACCAGCAACCAGCTGCCGTGTCTCGAGCTTTATTTCCAAAAAGGCCTTTGTTTTCCCAAAGAAAACGGTGGGCCCAGCCTGCCCCAGCCCCCCTCGAGCAGCTGGAGGGACAGTGAAGGGGACCCCAACTGCGGGACCAGCCGTGCACGGGGCTGTGCAGCCCCTTGGGGTCCCGTGGAGAGCCCCAGCCCTGCGCCCGGCTGTCACTGTCACCGTCACTGTGCCCTTGTGCTGGTGCCTACCCTGCAGGGCACTGCTCCAGCCTGGCACGGGCAGCCGGCCCGACCACGGCAAGTGGGCACCAGCTGGGTCCTCCCGACTGCTCGCCAGCCTCGGCGGCCCTTGCAGACACCGGGGCGGGTGGAGTCGAGGGAAGCAGCTCCCGCGCCATCGCCCGACTCTGCCGGGGACCTGCGCTGGCCTGGCATCCCCTCCTGGTACAGCCAGCGGGTCTGGCACGGCAGTGGTGGCACTGACCCGCGTGGGCACCGCGATAGCTCAGGGAAGCCAGCACCCCCCAGGGCTGCCAGCGCCCTGACGGCGGGTCCGGGTCCCTCCCTGGGCTCTGCACCGGTCGGCGGGGCCGGGGTGGGTGGCGGAGCTGGCACAGTCCAGCCCGCAGTGGCACTGCCGGCGTCACTCGGCGCCAGCGCGTTCCCGCAGCGCGGGCAGCGTCAGGGTCTCCGGCGCCGACTTCTTCCGCGGGCGGGTCTTGGGGGGAGCCAGGAATTCGGGGGCYTCGTCGCTGAGGGGAGTGGAGGGGGCGCTGGCAGGGGCCGAGTGCGTGGCCGTGGGCTGCCCCACCTCGCTGACCGAGATGGCCGGTGCCACCAGGCCGATGAGCTCGTTGGTGGCCTCCTGCGTCTCCTGCTCGTAGCGGCGCACCTCCTCCATCGTCATCCCTGCCGAGCACAGCCGTGCTTGGGGCCGCTCGGCACGGCCGCGTCYTGCACCCTCATCCCGGGGCAGCCTGCGCCCCGCGCCATGGCTCCCCACCGAGCTGGGCGACAGGAAGGGGACGGGGACTGGGAACGGGGGGACGGGCAGGGAAGGGGATGCTGGGCAGCACAGCCAGCTCCCCAACTCCAGCACCAGCCCAGCCAGCAGCGGGGAAGAGATGGACAGGCGGCGCAGCCAGCGCAGGCAGGGGACACACGGGGAGGGCAGCTGGGAGGGGGGACCCTCCGCCGCGGGGTGCAGGGGGGGCGCAAGCCCCTCTGCCTGCACCCACCACCAGGCAGCAAGGCGGGGTCCAGGGTGTCCATCCCTGACAAGCAGAGGGGCTTAGGGGTGCTGGCTCCCCAGCTTTTGGTTTGTGGCCACTTGCATCTGAGTCTCGAAGGCCCGGACCTCTTCCAGTGACATGTCTGGAAGGCAGAGAGCCGCTCACCGGGATGGCCTGGCACCCCCGCCAGCTGCCACCAAAACCGGGGCTCCCGTCACCGTGCCCACACGTGGCAGCCACCTGCAGCATGTGTCCCTGCCAGAATGGGGATGCAGGYAGCGCAGGCAGGGTGCTGGGACCCCTCTCCCTGTCCTCCCCAAGGGGTGCAGCAGAGCGGGCAGCGTGCGGGGGTGCAGGCAGGGCTGAGGGCAGGGGGCGCAGAGCAGAGCAGGCAGCAGGGCAGGCAGCAGGGCAGGCAGAGGCAGAGCAGGAGCTGTGGTGGGTTAGTGGCATCAGCAGTTTGACCTTCCCCTTCCACCATGTCAGGCCCCTCCCACCGTGGGCACCGTGTGTCCCCCTCCCTGCAGTGCCAGGGTGACCCCACGGACTCACCGCACCACTCGTCCACCCAGGCAAAAGCCTGCCTGTGCCCGATCAGCAGGATGTCCCGGATCACCTGCAGCACCACGGGGGTCAGCACCTTGTCACTGCCCTCCCGGTGCCTCCCTGCCCCCCTTGGGCCCCCCTCACCTTGTGCACGAACTGCTCCACCCGTGTCTGCAGCCCCCACACCTCGAACTTGACGCTCACCAGTTTGTAGGAGCACATGATGGGCTTGGTGTGCTGGCGCCAGCCCTCCCGCAACGGCCCCCGGCCAGTCTTGGCCGAGCTGAAGAAACGGGGGTCCTGGGGGGATGGGGAAGAGTCGGGTCATGAGTCCTCCTCTGGGACAGGGACAAGAGGGTGGCCTTGGAGAGCTCCCCCATCCCCAGCCGTGGTACCTCCAGGCTGCGGTAGTAGCGCTCAGGGATCTCGTCGAAGGCGATGTCCAGGAAAGAGACCTCGTGGTCACCCAGGATTTTGTCGCTGTGGAAGATCTGGGGAGGGCAGGAAGGGTGAGTGGCACGCACCACGTGTCCCCGAGTGATGGGTTTGCCAGGTCAGCTGCGGTGTACACTCACGTTCTCGCTGTCCCCGCAGTTGTCCTCGTACTTGGTCTCAATGTAGATGGAGAACTTGGGCAGGAAGGAGCACTGCAGGGAGCGGCTGTCAGCTGGTCCCCGAAGGATGTCACTCCCAGGGACACCCTCCCCGATGGACACCCACCCCGAGGGACACCCACCCTGAGGGACACTCACCCTGAGGGACACCCACCCTGAGGGACACCCACCCTGAGGGACACTCACCCTGAGGGACACCCACCCTGAGGGACATCCACCCCCAAGGATGGCCATCCTCAAGGGTCCCCCAGCCACAAGAACACCCTCTCCAGGGGAATACCACCTCCGAGGGAATCTGACCCCAAAGGGACACCCACCCTGAGGAATTCCCACCCTCAGGGACATCAAGCCCTGAAGGATGCCTGTCCCAAAGGACACCAACCCACAAAAATGCCCCCCCAGTGCCCTCTCCCCAGCTGGTAAGGTGACAGGTCCCCACATGACACCTCCTTACCGTGTACTCTGCAGGGACACCATGRCATATCAGCATCACAGGATGGCATCACCAGGTGGCATCACCGGGGAGAGAGGGAGTGGTGAGACATGGAGCAGTCCCACACAGCTCCCCCCACTGCTGGGGAGGGATGGGGTGCCCGTCCCACGCCCTGCCCGGGGCTCACCCGTGATGGTGTAGGGGTAGTAGTTCCAGGCCTTCTCGGTGATGTAGAAGATGCGGGGGGTCACAGCCCGTGCCCAGCTCGGCAGTTTGCTGTGGGCACCATGGAAGGGGACACCCTCAGGACAGGACATGGCTGGTGCCACCCAGCCCCGTGCCACCAAATACAGCCTGGCTCTGTGACTCCCATCCCCACCCCAGGAAGCCCACCTGCTACCCAGGACCCTCACCTCCACCCCAAGGTGCCCCCAGGGGTTCTCACCTGCACCTCAGAACACCCCTAAGGAGMCCTGTCAGCTCCCCAGGACCCTCAMCTGCACCTCAGGACCCCCACCTGCACCTCAAAACACCCTCAGGAACCCCTGTCAGCTYCCCAGGACCCTCCTCACCACCCTGGCATTCTGCCCAACAGAGCCCCCTGGCACCTCCCCAGATTCTTCACCTGCATCCCAGGACCATCTCAGGGATCTGTGCCAGCTCCCCAGGACCCTCATCTCCAGTGCAGTGTCCCAGTTCTCTCCTCAGGGTTCCCTTCTCCTCCCCAGACATCTTAATCCCTCCCCCAAGAGACCCCCACCCTCCTTCCCGGACCCCCACCGCTTCCCCAGGACCCCTCCACCTCCCCATGGCCAAGTCCCTGGGTTTCTGCCATTGTCCCCCAGCACCCGGCAGGATCGGRCCCCCTGGGGAGACGGGAGGTGGGTTTTGATTAATTTTCAGGCGTTATAAATAAATTTCAGGCGAGAGGGGAATCGTGAGTGCTGCAGCTAAAAATAGCCCGTCTCACACCAGCAGCTCCTGGTGGGGAGCAGCCCGTGCCTGCAGACACCGAGGGGACATGGGGACAGCGGTGCTGGGGGACAGCGGTGACATCCCCAGGGCCAGGGCATGGCTGAGCCCCCTGCCCAGGCGCACATCGGCACCCAGAACTGGCTGCCCTTCAGAGAGGGGTGCACCCCTGCAAGGTGGGTGCATGTCTTGAAGATGGGTGCACTCCAGGAGAAAGGGGCAGAGCCCCAAAAAGGGGGTGAACCCCTAAGATGGGTGCACTCTGGCATGTGGCTCCCAAAGATGGGTGCAGCCCCTGAAGATCAGTGCACCCTGGGTGAAGGATGCACCCCAGGAGATGGGAGCAGCCCCYCCAGATCAGAGCACCCCAGGAGATGGTGCAGCCCCCAAAGATCGGTGCAGCTCCCCAAGATCAGAGTACACCCYGAGAGATGAATGCAGCTCTCAAAATGGGATGCAGGCCCCAAAGATGGGTGCCCCCCAGGACCTGGGCACCCTGCTGGGCCACACACAGCCCCTAAACTTGGGTGCTGGCAGATGGGTGTAGACTCCCAGGGTCGGTGCATCCCAGAACTTGGGGATGCTTTGGGGAGATGATGGAGGGAGCCCTGGGGGATGGGTGCAGCCACACTGCAGGGTGCCCAGGACCCAGGAAGGACCTTCCCCAGGAATTCTGGAGGGAGGGCTGGGGCCACTGCTCCCCCAAAACGGCCCTTCGGCCCCGCTGCCTGCTCGTGCCCAGCAAGGCAATGCCCACCCAGCAGCCCTCACTGGACCCACAGGGTCACCTGGAGAGGTGGACACGTTTCTCGGTGAACTGGCCGGGGCCGTGCACGGGATCCTCGTGGGGCTCGTTCTTCACYACCTCCACGCCCTCGCCCTTCTCGCTCTCCTGGTGGCTGTGCTTGCTGATGGTGTAGAGCTGCCCCACGCGGTACTGCAAGCACAGCGCCCGCCCTCAGTGCCACCGCCCCGCTGACCGCCCGGCACTGCSCGGCGCCTGAGCCGCGCTGCCGAGGGGGAAACTGAGGCACGGAGCAAAGGGTGGAGGGTACACCCCGAGCCGTGCAGCGGGGGAACCCTGTGTGACCTCCCGTGTCCCTAGGCTGTCCCAACGCCCTGGCAAGGGCTGAATCCTGCTCTCCCTGTGCTTTCCCAGCACCTTGCAGAATGGCTGGAAGTTTTCTGCTCGGCAAGCTGCCTGGGAGCCGRGAAAAGCTGTGTATCTATGTGATGTACATGGATGTGTCTGTGTAACGATAAGGTTGAAGATGGGTATTTGGTGATGCAGCTGTGCAATGAGGGGTTTGATTGTTCTGCTGAAAATCCCATCCACCGCCCCGACTGCCAGCACGGTTCTATCACGCCACTCTGCCTAAATTAAAGCCTTCCCCAGATGCCACCGGGGAGCRATGGCACTACCCAGGGTGGGCACGGCTGCAGGTCCCTACTCCCCCAAAACGGCCCCTTCGGCCCCAGGTTCTCCCGAGRAACCTTTGTCCAGGGATGCTGCCAGCTGTCACTGCTGTTAGCTGATGTCATTCAGGCTCTCTGCAGGCACAGGGATGGAGCCTACGCTCCCTGTCGTGCCACGGGCACCCAAACCCCCGGTGCCCTTTGCCTGCTGGCTCATTCCTGGTTCTGCTGTGCCCCGGTGCTGCCRTCGGGCTCTGAGACCCAAGGTCGCCGTGCTCAGGGGTGAAATGTCCCCCACCTGCATCCCAAAATACRGCTCAGCCCTTGCACGGMACATCCCAGCCCAGCACAGCCTGGTCCCTGTCACAAGCCGTGCCACGAGGAGAAACCAAAAGGGTCACCGTGTCCCTCTCCGGGCAGGAGCCGGTCCCCTGGCGCTGCGCTGCTGTGGGTATGGGACCCCCACCCACAACCCCCTCCATCGGGGTGTCCCCGACGCCCGCGGGACACCCGGTCCTCGGCGGCCCCGGCCCCGCCRCCCCGCGCTCACCTCCTCGGTGGTGAGYGGCATGCAGATGCGGTACTCCTTGACGAGCATGGTGACACGGGCAGGGCGACACGGGCACGGCGGGCAGGGCGGGGGTCAGGCGGAGGCGTCGGCGCTGGTGGGGACACAGCTCATTCTGGGGGCCCGCGGGCAGCGGCAGCGGGGGGACGCGCCGCTGCCTCCCACGCTCCCATCCCAGCACCCCACGCTGGAGGCAGCCGCCCCGCTCGCGGTGACTTCACGAGCCGTTGCCATGGCAGTGGCGTGAGGTCACCCGTGCGAGGAGCAGCCTGGGTGTACCCAGCTGGGGACACCCCGGCACCCCAAAACCCTCCCGGCGTTAACCCCTTCCCTGCCGGGCACATACACACGTCCCCACGCAGCTGTCTTGGAGCACACGTGTCYCCCCAAAATAGGGTGCCAACCCTTCGGGGTGCCACTTCCCCACCCAGGTGTGGTGCTCAGTGCGGCAAGAGGGTGGCAGGGACGTGGGGATGGGGTCAGACCTGCCCAATGCCCCTGGGGACCCACCTCTGGGCACCCACACTCTGGTCTGCCCTGAGGACCTGCTCCAGGGGAGCACGGTGGACATGTCCCTGATGCAGGACATCCCTTCCCTGGGCAGGAGTCGGACTCCCTTTCCCGAGCTTTCCCCCAGCACCTCTCCCAGCCGGCACCCACCCTGGGGCTGCCCCCCAGCACCCATCCTGGCCATGGCACTGACAGGCTGTCACACTCGGCCCCTGCTCCAGCCAGAGCTGGGGATGCTCAGAGTGAGCAACRGGACAGCTCAGGGGGGTCCTGGACGGGGCCCCCAGCCCCACAGCAGAGGGAGGGGCGTGGGCCCTCCTGAAAGTCACCCTGAAMGGGGATCAGGCCTTGGAAGGGGCAGATGGGGACCCACAAGGGGGTTTTTGGGGGGGCAACTTGTCCAACTGGGGATACAGGGACATTCCTGGGAGTACAGGGTCATGGCGGGTCACAAGGGCATCCTTGGGGGCACCGGGGGACACAGGAGTGTCCCTGGGRCCACAGAAGTATTTGAGGCTACAAAGGCATCCGTGAGGGACACAGGGACACCCAGCTGACAGGGCAGAGGGCTGGGTGCTGCTGCGAGGTTTCCGGGACGCCACTACGGGGGGCAGAAGCAGCCACGGCATCCGGGAGGTGACGCCCCCGGGACCCACCGGAGCACGGCACGGCACGGCACGGCACGGCATCGCCCTCCCCATCCCGGCAGCTCGGGCCGGCCCGGGGGGGCTGGGGTTGCCCCCGCGGAGTGGACAAGGAGGAGCCCCCCGGCCGGGCTCCGCCGCCTCTTCCCCACCGCCGTCCGCGGCCGCATCCCCCCGGGGCCGCCCCCCGCCGCCCCCCGCCGCCCGCACTCACCGGCCCGCGGCGGTGCCCGCTCCCACCGCCGCCGCCGCCGCCGCCGTGCCCCGGCCGTCCCGGGCCGTGCGCAGGAGCGAGCCGCCCCCCGCACCGCCTCCCGCGCCGCGACACACCGACCCCTAGGGGGAGGAATGCACCGGCACCGCACCGGCACCGCGCCGGCACCGCACTGCACCCGGACCGGCATTACACCGACACCGCGCCGCACCTGGACCGGCACTGCACTGACACCACATCGCCCCTGCACCGGTACCGCACCGGCACCGCACCGCACCGCAATGACAGTGACACCGGCACCACGGCACCGTGGCACGGCATCGAGACACCCTTTGGCACGGCGCAGACCGGCACCAGGGCTTCCCGCACTCAGGAGCCTCAGGTCCTCCCAGAGACCCCCAGCACCCTCCGTGTGCCCCAGCTGGGAGGTGCCCTGATGGGGCTCCTGGGCTGGGCTCCCCCCGGGACCCCCCAGACCTCCTCTAGCCACTCACCTGCACACCAGTGCCAGTCCAGCCCCTGTCCCCGCAGCCTCACCACACCCCACGTGCTGGCACTGCCCACGTGCCATCCACAGCCACATGCTACCGGCACAGCTCATCACCAGTGACACCGCTGTCACTCCCTGCRCCTCCCGTCCTCCTTCCTCCATTCATTTCCATCATCCCAGGCACTGTCAATACCCAGCGCTTGGGTGTTGCACTGTGTCTTGGCACTGCCCTTTTCCTGTTATTTCCTCCCAAAATTCTGCCATTCCCTGCAGCCCCACTGCCTGGTGCCATGGTGGTGGCCGCTGTGGGGACAGGGACTGGGCAAAGGGGACAACCCCCAGGCCACCCCGTGGTGTTGCCATCACTGGCAGGGCTGGGAGTCTGCACTGCCATGGAGTTGCCACCTGCTCAGGCACCGGGGCACCCGCGGGTTCTTTTGTGGTTGTCGGTCTGTGCCATCTCCTGGTAGTGGGGACCCCTGTGAGCCCTGTTGTGTCACCCTGTAGGCAGTGACGGTCCCCGACATGGCCCTGGCAGTCCTGAGGCAGCAGGGATGGCCCCAGGCAGTGGCCAGGACAAGCAGTGGCACAAGGAGYAGCGTAGGGACAGTGGCCCCAAAACCTGCTGGGTGCCCCACGGGCAGCTGTGCCACACCCAGGAGCACGGTGCCAGGAGCTCTGCCCGCAGGCACACCTTCCCCTGCCTGCCCTGCATGGCTGCCTTCTTCCCACATACCAGCCCCTGGTGTCACTGCCCTCAAGGTGACATGTGCCAGCCCCTCCAGCTYTGGTGGCACTGGGTGGCAGCCACCCCCCTCCCAGTTTTCCTCCAGGGAGGGGACACCACAGCAGCCCCCAAAGGGGGATTTCTGCCCACGTGGCTGGGACCGAACCCACTGGGGTGACTGTGGCATTGACAAGGACCCGGCCATGCTGGTGACAAGTACCTGGCGGGCTCTCAGCCCCCCCAACAGCTGCATTCCTCCTGAACCTGTTTGGCAGGGCCCCGTGCAGGTGCCAAGGAAAAGGCATCCGGGTTGGGCTTTTCCTGGTCATGCCCTGCTTCACTCCAGTGCAGAGTCAACAAGGAGGAGCAGCCTGGTGCCCCCACAGTGCTGCTGGTGCCCCCCAAAGTCACCCGTGATCCTGAGTACTCACAAGACCCCCCCAGTTTCTCACCCCCATAGCGAGGATCCCACAGAAAGCTGGGAAGGGGAAGAAAGAGGAGGCAGAAACAAGTGAAAAATGACCCAATTTAATCCCAAAGCCCCCTCAAGCTCCAGGGTTTGGGGAGCCCCTGGTGGCCCCTCCGGCCCCCCTGTCTGTGCAGCCCATGAGACCCCAGGCTGAGCGCACCCCTGGGAGCACCCCCTGGCTCTCTGCTCCGGTGCGGGGACAGGGAGCGTTCCGAGGCATCCAGCCTCTTCCTCAGCTCCGCCGGCAGCCCCGCACCGACACCGGCACCAACACCGACACCGACACCCAGCCGTGTCCCACCGCCCCGAGCCCCGCCCCGAGCCCTTAGGGAGGTGCCCTGACAAAAACCATCCTGGTGGAGTAGACCAGGTCCACCAAGTAGGCGATGAGGTTGAAGATGGTGAGGAAGGTGACCCCCAGGTGCTTGTTCCACCAGCAGTTCCTGCCGCAGGGGTCAGGGCGGCTGCGTCCCCTGAAGCTGTAGAGAGGCCAGAGGACGGTGGCGGTCAGGTACATCAGCAGCGCCAGGAAGTTGTACCCCACCAGCATCTTCTCCAGCGGACAGGGGATGTAGGTGAGACAGCGGCCGATGGTGAAGATGATGATGAGGAGGGTGAAGATGAAGCAGATGGCGTAGACGGCCACGCACCACATCAGGCCGGGCACCCCGTTGTACTCATCCAGCAAGGAGAAGATGAGGCAAGCCACGTAGGCTTCAAAGACCTTGAGGAGGCCGGGCACGGTGGAGAGGAAGCTGCTGATGTCCCCMGGCTTGGCACGGGTGAGCCCCACCTCGAGGGCGTAGGCGAGGAAGCAGAGGCAGGAGGCGGTGGTGGCCACGGCCTGCCGGGCGCACAGGTTGCTGCTGCAGGGGCTGCTGATGAACGTGGCGGGGAACAGCACCGAGGAGGTGAACACCATCAGCGCCGCCAGCATGGAGAAAGCCGAGGTGAAGTCGTCCCAGGAGAGCGGCAGCAGCGACTGCAGCTCCAGCAGCTCCAGCAGCAGCACCAGCAGTGTCACGGCGAAGCAGAAGCACCAGGTGAACATGCACCACGTCCCGAAGGGACCCTCGAAGTGCCCTGTGGAGGCCACCAGGCTGAAGGCGAGGCARGACAGCACGACGGCAAAGAGCCGGGCGATGCCCACCCAAGAGGTCAGGGCACGGAGGTTGACTGTGGCCACGGCCATGGTCCGGCCGCTCTGTGCCCACGCCGCGCCGGGCAGTGGGTGCCGCCCGCAGCCGCTCTTATCTGGGCGCTGGGGAAGAGGGGTGGGGCGCAGGGCAGGGAGCCGCCAGCACCCCCGAGCCGCCCGTGCCGAGGACCCCCGGCTCGGCTGCCGCTGCCACCACGCCGGTGGCTGCAGGGGGCGGGTGGATGATTAACGCGGGGCTGGGCAAAGGGCGGTGACGCCGAGCGCCGCGGTGGGGCCGGGGCGGGCAGGAAAGCTCCGTGTGCCACCGTCCTGGCGCTGAGCCCCAGCCCTGCCCACGGCAGGAGGCACAAAGAGGCCTTTCATGCACCCCTGGAGGACCGGGGGGTGCCGCCCTGAAGCCTCGTCCCCACACGGTGCCAGGGCCAGCGGGGCAGCACCCACTGGGACCCCCTGAGGCGTTTAGGGACTGCAGCCGGTGCTGGGTGCCCCTGACAGGGGGGTGTCACAGTTGGGTGTAGCCCCTTCACACCCTTGTGGACGACACCTCTGCTCCCTTCCGGCACCTCCGCTCCCCTCCCGGCGCCTCCACCACCTGATAAGCGGCTCAAAGTCCAGCTGTGCCAGCTGCCGTCACCGGGCAGGGCAGGTGAGGTGACCACAGGGAGGGCACCTGCATCCTGGCCACACCCCGCGGGTGGCACCGCCAYTTCCCCAGGGTGCCAGCAGCCCGAGCAGCACCGGAGAGCGGTGGCACACCAGAAGTTGGGAGTCCAGCAGGAAGGTGAAGGTTGARGGCTCTGGATTGACCTTTAATGTCACACAGGGTCCAGGGGGTCTGTGCCCATGGCAGAGCTTGGGGTGAGGGACCCAGGTCAGGGCAGCTGGGCATTCTCGGGGGGCTCCTCACCCCAGGCAGGGTCCTGGCACAGCCATGGTGGGCAGGGATGGGCGGTGCTGCGGGGTCCAGTGGTGTCTCAAGGGGGCACAAGGTGGCTCAGAGGTGGCTGCTGGCCTCGCCCTTGCCAGGCAGCCCGTTGAGGGAGCTCAGCCCCGGCCGGTTGCTCTCGTTCAGCCGTCGAACGCGGTAACTCTCATAGTGGACGTTGTGGGTGATGTCCTTCAGATCCTGCAGGTGTGACCTGCCCGGGGTGGCAGAGGGAGGAGGGGCATCATGGCATTGTCCTCCCTACTCCGCTGTCACCCTGTGGGGTTCCAGCACCCCCCAGCCCATCCCTCACTCACCGGATTAGCAGGTCCCGCAGGAGGGGGAACTCGCAGTGCGCTGGGTTCTCCACTGCAAAGCAAGGCAGAGGGGCAGGGTGGGCACGAGGGCGATGTGGCACTGGGATGGCCAGGCAGCACATCCTGGCACACCCTGGGTGCTACCAGAGCACCGGCATGGCTCCGTGACACATCCCACAGCTCGGCACCCACCCTGGCACCACCCTGGCACTGCATCCTGGCACACCCCGGGTGCCACCAGAGCACCAGCAAGGCTCTGTGCCATGTCCCATGGCTCGGCACACCCACAGGTGCTGCTCCCTGCCCCAGGGGATGGATGGGGTGCGGGGGGCACTGCTCACCTTCAATGATGCCCCACTTGGTCTTGCGGCCCAGCACCCGTTTGCCGTTCACCTGGTGCTCCTGGTCTGCCCCCACCACGGCGAAGGGGATCTCCTCCTGCCGGCACAGAGGGTGTGCTCGCCCTGGGTGCTGCTGCCCAGGGYTCCCCAGGGCACCTGTGCCCCACCCTCCACAGGGACCAGCCCCCTCCGCCCCAGCACCCCGGCACTCACACGAATCCTGTCRTTCAGCGCCCTGTCCTCGGGGTCCTGGTCGAAGTCCTCCTGCGGGTACACGCTGATGGCRTGGGTCTTCAGGTCCTCCTGGATCTGCGGGATGCAGGGCTTCAGCTGGGGCTGGGGGGGACACGGGACATCCCGGGAGCCCCTCGGGGACCCGTCCTCACCCGCTGCTTGAACTCTGCCCGTTCCTCCAGGGTCAGCGTGTCAGCCTTGGCGATCACCGGCACCACGTTGACGATCTTGCTCAGACGCTGCATGAACTCCAGGTCCAGTGGGCGCAGCCTGACAAGGACCACCATCACTCCAGGGTGTCCCCACCTCTGTCATTGGKGGGTGACCCCACCGCTGTCACCCTGAAGTGACTCAACCACCACTGCCCTACCACCAGCCCAGGGTGACCCCACCATCATCATCCCAGGATGAYACAACTACTCCATAGTGACCACCCCACCACTGTCATCATGGGGTGACCACACCACTACCACTTGAGTCACCCTCAGGTGACCTTCACCACCATCACCTCAGGGTGGCTCCACCACCATCAGCCTGGGGTGATCCCACCATAATCCCCCCCCACTCCATCACCATCACCTCGTGGTGACCCCACACATCATCCCAGCATGACAGAACCGCCCCACAGTGACCCCATCAGCTCTGGSTGCTGCGAGTGGGGACTCACCAGTGACCTGTCGGGGGGACGAAGTAGACACATCCATGGACCCTGGTGTCCGGGATCTTCCTCTTGCGGCTGATGAGGATCTCCTCCCGCAGGTACCTCTCGTACTGCTCGTTGATGTATTTGATGATGGGGTCCCAGCTGAGGATGAGGAGTTGGGGACAGCAGTGAGCTCAACCTCCACCCCAACCTGCCACCCACCGAGCTGGGCTGCTGCACCCCRTTGTGTCGTTGTGTCCTACCAGTTCTCATTGTTGATCTGGTCCCCAAACCCCGGTGTGTCCGTCACCGTCAGCTTCATCTTCACCCCTTTCTCCTCGATAACTGTGGGGCAGAGGGGTGGGTCAGGGGGGATGAAGCATTGGGGAGAGCAATGCATGGGGGACAGTTTGAGGCTGTGAATGCAGCTTCAGACCCCCAGCCCAGTCCCCTGCTTCTCCCAGGGGCTGGTGGGACACAGCCCGTGGTGGTGGCCTTACCGTGGGTGATGGACTGGAGCTGCACCGTTTTGGGGATGCGTTCCTCCTGGCCGGGCTGTGAGGATTTGCGGCTCACCTTGGACTTGAAGAGGGTGTTCACCATGGTGGACTTGCCCAGCCCGCTCTGCCCTGAGGGGACACCAGCAGCTCTGGTTTATCCCTGAGGGCAGTAACACCTTGACAGCCATTTAGGCCCAAATAAACTCTTTCCCCAAGGCAATAACCTCTTGGTATCCACTTGGGAGCATTGCAGAGGTTAGGATTATCCATTTCACCCCCCAAATGAATTCATTCCCCAAGTTGACAGCCCCTGGTACATTCCAGGAGATTGAGCTAGTCCAGTTTATCTCCCAAATAAATTTATTCCCTGAGGTTATAGACCCTCAATGTCCATTTGGGAGCATCCCAGAGGTTGGGATGAGCTCACCTATSAGCATCACTATGTTACAGGGCACAGGATGTTSCTCCTTTTCAATATTTTGCTACTTRAATCAGATAAAATCCCTTACATTTCCTTAAAATCCCTTAAAAGTGTGATTTCCCCTGGCATGGCGGAATCAGAGCCAGTATTCCCACCCCGACCAGGAGCAAATCCCACGCCCGACGCTTACCCACAACCATGATGTTGAACTCAAAGCCCGTCTTCATGGTTTTGATTTTCATCTGGTCAAGCACAGCTTCGATTCCCACGTATCCAAAGAGCTGGCAGCCCACGGGGCCGGGCGCCACGGAGAGGGGCACCTCCACCGCCTCCTCCTCCTCCTCCTCCTCCTCCGGCACGGCCGGCGGCTCCATGCTACACTTCTCGGGCTCCAGGCTGCTCCCTGCACGGTGGGCGGGCAAAGGGGGTGAGCCTGGACCCCCCGGGACCCACCCCCGGCGCCCACCCCCGCGCCCGCAGCGTTGCCCCAGCAGCGGCCGTGCSGGCGGGCACGCAGCCCCGGCACATTCCCGGGTGCCGGTGAGGCTCGGCATGGCAACGCGGGCACGCCACCCCCGCGCCACGCCGAGGGGTCCGGGGAGGCGCCAGGGGCATCTTTGGCGTGGTCATGCCACCGGTTGCTCAGCGGGCATGGCCAGCACCCTTTGCCCAGCCCACGGTCACCCACGCCAGGGCACCTCCCGCAGCGCCGCTCCGGCCCTGGCACAGCCGGGGGGCTCCGGCCCCGGGCCAGGACGTGCCACCCCACACTGTACCCCGGCACTGGTCACTGCTGGACCAGGGGCACCGGCGGTGTCGGGGGTGCAGCGCAGGCACCGGCACAACCCCGAGCCCCAGGGAACGCGTGGGGTTTGCCCGGGGGACCGTGCCCGGAGCGTGCCCCAGGCCGGGGGCCGCCGGAGCCCCGTGCCCGCCCCAGCGCTTTGTGCGGCAGCTTGGGGGGCCCCAAATCCCTTTCTTCCTCCTCCTCCTCCTCCTCCTGCTTCCCAGCACGGCCATTGTTCGGGTCCTACCTCGGCGCCGCGGTGCCCTCGCTCAGCGCCCCGCTACGGGCGGGGGGGTGCCCCGGGCGCCATCCGCATCCCCGTCCCCGGCGGCGCCGCAGCCCGGCCCCTTCCCTCCGCCAGCTCCCGGCTGGCACCGGCCCGGCCCCGCCGAGCCTGCCGCTCCCACGCATGACCAGCATGGCAATAACCCGCCCCCCGCAGCCCCCTCCCCACCACAGCCGAGCCCTTGCGCCCCGTTTGCCGCTTGATTGGCGGGTGGGGAAGGCTGCGCCAACCCGGCTGAGCCAACCCGGCTGTGCCCACCCGGCACATGGCACCGCTCAGCCTCCAGCCATCCCAGCACGGATGGGGACCCCTCCCACGGCACAGGGACAGCCCCACTCTGCATTTCGGCCTCCATCACCCCGTGGGTAGCTGTGGTGCCTCTGAATGGGAGTGGGAGTGCTTGGCTGTGTGTACAACCCCCAGTGGCAYCCACGGGCTCCCTGGCACCGGGGACCACCCTGTGCTGTGCCCCCCACCCCAGCAGCACCTGTGCCCAGCCCTGGCACAGCGGGGTGGGACGAGGGGTGGTGGTCCTGCCGCCCGCCCCACTGCCGCAGTGCCCCACGGCGCTTGCGTCCCCCCACGCCGCAGTCTCCCCCGTGTGTGCCAGCCGGCGCTTGGCACCGGCGAGGCTGGAGCGGCAGCTTGCGAGGGCCCAGGCTGTGAGGGACCTGCTGAGACCGTGTCCGTGTGCCACGCAGCCAGAGGACAAGGGACATGGGGGCAGGGGCTGGCCTGAGCCAGCCCTGGGTACCAGGAGATGACGGCGCTGAACACCCCCATTGCCATGGCAACGGCATCCCGGCGTGGGAGCCACCCAGCACCCTGTGCCCGCTGGGTGCCAGACTGACGGCAGGGCTGGGCACAGCAGTGTCGCATGTCCCRGCTCCCCCTGCGCTCCCGTGGGTAGCGATGTTCCTCGGAAGTGCTGAAACAGCCGCGGATTTCCTGGTGACAGCGGTGACACCCGGCTGGGGGGGCTGGGGGAGGGCAGGACGGCCACTCSGGCGGGGATCCACCCACCCAGCACTGCCCGTGCCCACAGCGTGTGCCACAGGCTGGCAGCGAGGTGGGATGGGAGGTATGTGGGGGATGCTCATCTGGACAGTCATGGCTCTCGGGGGACACTGCCCCCCCGTACCCCACCCTGGCCCCCTTTCCCAGTCCCTGCCAGCCTTGGCAGTTGCCAGGACAGATCTGGAACCAAGTGATGCAGCCGCTGGAGCCATCAAGGATGGCTGGGTACTGC